GTGTGCAGCGCATTGCGCAGCAGCCCACATGGGTAGGCCTGATCGGACTGTATCAAGTATGGATTCTACTATAAAACACTAGGCCGGTAAGTCACATGCGGCGAAGCTTTGCAGATTATGCGCATGCGTATGTGCAACGTGCACAAACAATCGTGGAATATTCTGAGTCAAACGCGTGGACATGAGACCTTCTGGTCTTCCTACTTTAGATTACACTGCACGTATCCGTTTTGCATGTACTAGCCCCGCCTTACAAGAAGCGGGCCATACTCAAAGACAAGCTAGTCTATCCCCTCTCACTACCTTGCCACATCTGCTGCTCTACCTTTCCTACATCTGCTGGGCCTGCAGAATGGCTTCCTTCTGGCAGAACCGACTACTGAACACACTGGCAACATGGTGTTGACCTTAACTAGTTCTACTTATCTTCCTAGACTCGATCAACATACAGGGTAGGATGGCCGCGCTGCCTTCATCTAGACACGGAATCACCTTGCCTTGCCTCAGCATTGCATTCTGAATCTATCAGGAGCATTTGACGTGCCTACCACTAACAAATGTGTCGGTCCAACTCATCTGGACCCAACGTGCGCCGGAGAGCGCCGCTGATCCCAATGAATACCAACAAACCCCACCCCCCATTTCAAGGGCTGACCCTTCAACCCCCCAACCCAAGGTCGCCAGAGCACAGAACGATAATTTACCAACAAGTTGTGGTAAGCGCGCTTGCTCTGGGTATTCTCGAGACCTGCACCCTGACCTCATCCGACGGCATCACAGCTGGCCTATCTGATATCCTGTCGCCGGGGTCATGCTATCAGCGCTCTTGTCGGGAGCGCCCGACGCCGTTTGCATTGCCCGAGTATTGACGTCAGGCCGGCGCGCTCCCTAAAGCCCCCGGTCGAGCACCACGAGGCGGTCTTCCTCCGTCCACTGCAGCGAAACAGTCTCGCTTTCATTAAATATCCAATGCTATGGATGATGATTCAACGCTGGGGGGCTGGTGGGGTTGAACTGCTGTAGTGGTACACAGAGGTCCAAACCAAGGTGATCCAGATAAGAGTCCCAGGCGCTTGTTGGGAGTCTGGATGTGGCGCGCTTTGCTTCTGCTTGCCAACTCTTTGCTGCGACAATTACTCAAAGAAGTCATCCCTTCATGAGATAGCCTCGGTGTTCAGGTAAGGTTGAAATCGAAGAAAACTACTGTCTCTGTGTACTTGCTCGTTATGGTGGGGGTTAGAATTGGGGTTTGTTAGGATAACCTCATCATTAATGGAGCTTATCAATCACGAAACCAAAAGTTTACCTGCAGCGGCGCGTGCTTCTCCGGCGGGTTGAGCACCCACTCCCCCCCTGCCGCCCGGTTCCGATACCCGAGCACCAAGTCCCTCTGCGCCATGGCCCGGCGCTGGAGCTCGAAGAAGGAAACGACTTCCCCCGGGCGCACGTACGCTGACGCTTGCTGCATGTTCAAATTGGAGCCGTAGTCGGAGACGACCTCGTCCAAAACGGCGCCCACGTCCGTGTCTTCCGCCAGGTTGGCCAGCACGCGCGCCTCAACCTGGGGAATAAAACCATAATTGTCAGGCCGGTGCCTCAAAGGGATAAATCCCTTCAAAGTGTACAATGACTTCATAAAGCGCCGATCTTCGAGCTACGCGGCGACTTGTGTCTTTCGCTTCAGGTTTGCCAGCAGGCGCGCCTCCACCTAGGGAACGGAAAATACAATAATGCGAGCGGTGTTTTGATGTGGAGAAGTTTGGCTTCGTTCCAATTGGACAGGGTAGGCTTGGTTCGACAGCGGCTATACGCGGTGACGAACGTAGGAAGGTCTTGGATAACCGGCCCCATCCGACACTGTGCGAAGGAAAAGCCTCGAACGTTCTACCAGATGCACGATGCGAAGTGACGGCGGCCATTTTTGTCGAGTGGCGTGATTGCACGATAGCCTGTCCTCAGTCCAGCTCTTATCAACATGACGAAAAGGAGATTCAGAAGCGGTTCCCTGTCGGCAACCAGCCACCCGTGGCGGATACGTCGACAAAGCAAAGCGAAACCAGTTTAATGATGTGAGGTCTAGGCACCGAGGTTGCAAGGAAGCTGAAACGAAGGAGCATCGAAACGCAGGAAGTACGGCCGAACGTGACAATTGTTCGATGGTTGGTGGTCCTTTTTGCAACGTCGTGCCAGGCTGTCGCACTTCTTTTCAGCCAATCAACTAAAAAAAGAAGAAACCCAAAGACCTCCGGGCAACAAAACACGAAAAAGGTCGGTTTTCCTGCAGCTGAACCCTAGACACCCAAACACTAATTTACGGCGGACACAAATCAGCCAAGCGAATCAGCCCAAAGAAATTGCTGGAAATGCACGCTGCAACATTCCGCGGGCCAGCATGCTTACGGCGCCGGGCACGATATAGTCGTCGAGCCACGCCTTTTGCACGAGCTCCAGGCCGTCCGAGTTGCCCGCCCGCAGCTCCGCCACGATGGTGCACCCGGGGTTCCCGCGCTCCACCTGCAAACCGGGGCTAAGCACACGGTTAAGGTGAGGGTCAGAATTGTGGTTATTCCTTTGGGTGCAGTCCGGGTGGCCAGGCCTTTTGCACCAGCTCCAAAACCGACGGAGTTGCCCCGCCTGCAGCTCTGCCACGATGGTGCACCCCGGGTAGCCGCGCTCCACCTACAAACCGGGGGGTAGGGTTAACCACACCCTTAAGGCTAGGGTCATTCCTTTTGGTGCCACCGGGATGGCCACGCAACACATGCAGACGAAGAAATACGTGAACCACACGGCTGAGGTCAAGTACTGCGCTTAGACCTTTTGGTGCAATCTTATGGTCGCGCTCCATCTGGATAACGGGGTTACATTTGAGATAACAATAAAAAAATCCTGGCTCTGATCGCGGTTATCACGCGATAAAAAACCGGGTTGTCGCGCTCCACTTGTCATCGTTGAGGCACGGTTGGAACCAGGAATTTGTTAGCGGCTAACAACCATGTTGCACCCCTGCTCTACTTGCTAATGGGCAGTTGCGGTAACAGGCACAAGTGCAACTAAGCTTATCATTGTAAATCCACAGCAAAGGTGCACCCCGGTTTGCTCCACCTGTTGCACACGCGATTGTCACAAGCAGTCGCGAAGTCATTCCCGATACGGTCTTATGAGCAGAGGAGAGTGCCTAGCTAGCTTCGGGGTTGAGGGTAGAAACTGGGGCACCACGTCGAGACCATAATCATCGTCGAGATCGTCATCATTTTCTTGATTAGTGTATGCCCGACCACTGTTGCGTTTAGTAGACTAGGACAGAACTTGTTGATGTTATTTTGTCGAGAAGAATCTCCATAACATGTTTTACCGACCAAATACGAATCGCGTGTGAACTGGCGCACCTGGGCGTGGCGGATATACATGGCCGTGGTGGTGGTGGACACGTCGAGATTATTCACACAAGTCTCCTCCCCACCGCTCTTGGTCAGCAGGATCACCCGGTCGTACTCCTCCAGCGGCAGCGAGCACAGGTCCTGCCGCGATCCGGGGTTCCCGTACACTGCACAAACAAGCCGACGACTGCGTCTTACATCGCCGTTAAAATCCGAGTCGTCCAGACCGTCTGACAGTCTCCGCTCCCTCAGTCTGGTGTTGGTCTCACTCTTGCTGAAACGCCGTAGCTTTGGGTGCAACAATAAGCCGCACAGAACTGGAGGCAATGAAGGAGAAAGCTGGAACATCGCATAATGACAAACCAGATTCACCACCCTTTTGCAAGCAATGAACCTTCCCCGCAGCCGGGTGTTCCAACCACGGAGAGATTTTGCAGGTCCCAGGCCGCCAGAACACCAGGCCCTGTCGGACCGCGATCAGCACAACGGAAGCTGCAAAGCTCACGTTGCTTGATCTTGAGGTTCTTGAGACGGGGCCCCGTGGCCAGCTCGTGCTCCCGGGCGTGCTTGGACGCTTCCGACATCATGTGGACCTCGCTGCCTGCGCGGAAACGCAAGCCGCTGACGTCAGAATACAAGACACGTGGCTGCTGATCAACACAGTGACGCTTTCCCGTTATTCGCCAGGCTTGTGAAAAAAAGAGAAAGAAGCAATTAAAATTGATGGCTAGCTCATTCGCTCTCGATTGCGAAAAGAGACAGGCACTGGCTTTCAATGGGATAATACCGCAGCCTGTCCTTCTTCAAAAGAAATGTTGCTAAAAAGCCAACCTAAGTAATCAAAGCGTATCACGCAGAAGAGTGGACAAGCACTGCGCCGACCGGGCCACAGACTGGTCGATCCGGCGCATACATAAGACACTGAAAGAACTTCCCCAGCAAAAGCTTAGCAACATCTGTGATTGAGACCTTAGACACATGCAGAGTATCGCACACGAGAAACTATAAGAGCCTGAAATCATCTGGCCGCCCTCACCTGGCGCAGCGATGCAATCTAGGAGACTGAGTAGATCGTACATGTCGTTCTTCCAGCCACACAGCAGCAGCTTGGTATACGGCTGGAACTTCTCTTTCGATGGCTGCAGCAGTCCGATCGGGCCCGGCTGTTCGCTTGCGCCCGGCCGATACGTGTCGTCGCCGCGCGAGATCACCAGCAAACGGTCGCCCTTCTGCACTTCAATTCTTATTTCGATTCGAGGGTCAGGAAGGGCGTCTGCCTTACGTGGATTAGAGGCATACAGACTGCGATTTATATATCGACTGCCTGTCGCTGTGATCCTGACCCACGTGGCTTTTCGAGCGCCTGCAAGGGTGATAATTGGGGCATGCAGTCGCCGTGTGTGACACGTCTCGCAACGCCCTCTACTTTGAGGCCTTCTACTTTGGAATGAAAGCAACGACGGAAATCGGCGAACTAGCGCGCAAACACTTGCCTCTCGAGCTTCTGACATATGCTTGGGGACAGGCCAGACAACCGTTGCTGCGAAACTCCTTCACGGCACGTCTTCCGGCGTTTGATGGCAGACTCAATTCCATTTATTCGAGGGAATGGCTTTTGAGCATTTGAAAGATGGATGGGTAACTCGCCTCGATGACCGTGTCCGGGGCCGGGTTGACGAGGATCTTGCGCCGCCCATAATCGGACACGTGGCGCCGCCGCAGGCCACACGGGATGGCGTCCTTGAACATGAACACGGCCTCAGCAAACGTCTTGCCGACCAACTCCGGCCTGAAAGAAAATGGCGGTCTGATTACAAGAACCAAAACTGATAAGCTCCCTACTAACACCGAATACATAGGCTTAAGGTTGGATCCGCTCGGAACCCGTACCTTCCCCAGAATCCGACACTCATCCCACCAGAGAGGGGACGAGTTATCCTTCCTGCCGCGTATATTCCTGATTTAGAGCCTCAACGGAAGAAGGACGCCGGCTAGGTTATCATGAAAGGAGTGACCGATTCTTGGTTCAGCAGTTCAAGGTCAGATCCTGTTGATTCAGGTTTACACGCCTCCTGAGTCACGGCTCCAAGAATAGCAGGCTTTCTGCGTTGCAGCAGCAAAAGAGATCTCTTTATTAAAGTACTTCAGTGACGCTCACATAAGCGATTGTGAGAGCACGACGTTTCCCCGTGTTTGAGTCCGGACCGAAGGCAGGTCGTTAGAACCAGGGCAGTTCAGACAGCAGTGCTTAAGAGCAGATCTTAAGGTGCATTCCAAGGCAAGTTGTTCGGCGCAGCTGCGTTCTATACGGCAAGCCGCCTGCAGACGGCAGATGCTGCTATTGACCTCTGGGGATCCTCGGAAGACCTTCACACACGACCAGAAGGACGTACTTTGTGTTTGCTCTTCTCAGGTCCCCCCTGAAGCTTCAAGATACGCATGTGCAGAGTCGTTGAACCGCGTCCGTAAAGTAGCTACGACCGCAACTTAAATCTTTCCATAAACGTCCCGTGCACCCGACTTCGTTGGATTTTAGAAAGCTTCCTTCTCGTGAAGAAACAATCCGGCACTCACCACTCCTTGAAGCGGAACTCGTTCTTCTCGAACGTCAGCAACTCGTCCATCGCAAACGCAAGATCCGGCTCCAGTGCTCTGTATACCAGCATGCGCGACGCCACGTCACCAGCCGCGATTGGGACCATCTTCCGGGACCGCCCCTTGGCGCTTCCGTTTCCGTCCTCCTCCAGGCTCGGTTCCGCCGGAACGGCGCTCTCCTTGCCCTCTGGCAGCGCCGCGATGGGCGACTTTTTGACGAGCGTCCTGTGCATCTCTTTGAGGATCTCGACGTTGTCCAGCTCAGCAAACTCCGCGATGATGTTGGCGTGCATGTTGGGCAGGTGCGCGAGCACCAGGCACGTCTGCAGGACCTGCGGAAACGTAGGAAACAGGGTTTCAGAGTCTAAGCTTCGAGGATCGATCTGAGATATCGTTCCGAACCTCAGGATTGGATAAAGGGTTTAGGAGGGGATCAGCCGAGTAACAGGTGCCGGGTAAAAGTTACTGGACAAGCCGTCCCTGGTGTTAAACGTGACCCGTAGAGATGAATCTTTGGGGTCTGGGTAGGGCTTATTTGAACTAAGCGTCTTGTGAATGTGAGAGAGTACTCAATCTCGAGCGAGTTGCAGAGCAAGCCCTTCACACTGAGAAAGGTCGCAGGGCTCAAGCGCTGACACCTGTTGCAAAACAGGCTCGAGATGGGCTATCCGCAAAATAAAAATATGCTGCCTTTGCAGGACGTTGATTAGTCACAGGATGCAGTGAATCCGACTCTTTAACTGCCCCGAGACCGACAAAGACCTTGCTTTTCCGGGTGCGCTGTTCGTCCAAGAAATTCTTCGTCTGGAGACCGATCAAAGGGTCAAAAGGAGTCCAACTCCGAGTTGTAATCGTCGGCCGTTACCTCTGCATCCACTCTGTCCGGGTTCTGGCTCCCCCCCGTAGGCGAGAGAACCACGATCGACGAAGCCCCGTCGGCCGAACACCGCCGCAGGTCCTCCAGCGACGTGGCCACTCCCTGCCGGCTGATGACCTGCATAACGTCAGGCTGAGATCACCGACGCTCTGTGCTGAATGCAAAGCTCTCACATCTGACTGGCTGTGTGAACCATACGCTAAGGCAAAGCTGCGTGCGTCTTAGAGACCTTGGCCCCTTTATTGTGACGGTGCAACGGGTTTTGACCTTCCCATCTTTGACATGTGACTTCTCATTCGAAAGCTCAAGGGTTTCACGACTCAAGCGAGGATTGAGAGACAACTGCATCAGGATGCCTTCAACAATTTTCGTAGTCACTTATAATGGTTTACGGCGCCTGTTTCCGCACAAGAACGTAGAACATCGCCGTTGGTTAAAGTCTCTGCTCTACATATTGGGTCAAAGATATGCCGTCTGATTGCCCCGATCAGGATTCAGCAGCTCGCCCGCCCGTGTCGAAAAACATGAGCTGAAACAAGCAGGAGCAGAGCAGGATAATCGCCTTCCAGGCTACTGTAGAATAGTCAAAAACCCTTAGTAGTTTAGAGACGCACAAAGATACTGCAAGGAGAAATGCAGATTGCAAAAACGACCCCTGGCACTACTGCCCAGCAGAAGCCGAGCATTCTCTAGGTTTTCTCGACGCAAAGAGAACAGACTCATGGTATAGATTCTATTTTAGTATAAGCGACGAGTGACAGCCCAAGCATCCTCTCAACCCGAATCCCAAAATCTCGAGCTCCGGTGCCCACCTTGGTTCCGCCGCGTGCGCTGACGGGGATGCTGTCGAGCAGTTCCGCGTCCATGTCCTCCTTCTCCTTCTCGCCCAGCACCACGATCGTCTTCTTGTGCTTCCGGTCCGTGTTGGCGATCGACAGCGCCTCCACCAGCGGAACCGTCTTCGGAGTCCACCCTGCGTGCCGCGGGGCAATCGTTCAAAGTGAAACAATCCACAGCTGTTCGCGTCTAGTTGCCATTGGGTTCTCAGACTTCCGGAGCATGGTTCTGGTCCTGGAACGTGGGATTGACGACGGGCCTGGCAACCAACGGCTCGAGACGACGGACTAGAGTTCAAAGCTTGAATCGGGGGGCCAAGTTTGAGGAAGACAGCTGTTACCTTCCTGAAACCCACAGTACCGCTACTGGTCATGCTTGGAGATCCTCGAACGCTTAGCATGCCGCAGAGTTACTCGTCACTTGGACACTTTTGACGAATGTCTCTCCTTACGACGGACTCTTGTCGGCGGCTTTGAGGTGCGTCAGTCCGTATAGACGCTCGGCGTTTGTCCAGGCGATGAAAAGTTGTCGGTATAATTATCAGGTCAATCGAAGGGTCTCAATCCGCGTAGCATTGTCATCGTGGTGCTATCATTCGCGGGGCTCTCTTTTTGAGCTTTGCAGCCACCAGACTTTTGCCCTCGGCCCTCGATTTGCCAGACATTTCAGAGTCGAGCGTAGAAGTCTGAAAGCTTAAAGCTCTAGACGCCTGCAAGAAGGTGCACGGCTCACCGACGACTAGGGTGTGGTGCTTCTCGATGACGATGCTCGCCCCCTTTTGCAGGCCGTCCACTTTGCTGCTGACGGCGTCCGACACGAGTCCGATCAGCAACGCGAAGAACAGCATGCCGCCAATGGTCAGCGGCACCGCCACGAGCCGCTTCTGCCACGTGTCCTGCAAAGAAAAGGCGCGAAATGAATGTCCGGCAACGCTGGCTTGTCGAACTTTCGATGGCAAAGAGAAGAACGGAACCCTACTGATCACTGAGTCCCTGCGTCGAGCCGAAAAGCCTGTACACGCGTCACAATCTCGTTGGCCAACTTGAAAAATGAGTTTGCGGTATTGTAACTGGGGGTATGCTCAGGCGACTGACTGGTGCCAGGACAGAGAAAGGCAGCAGAAGAAGATCAGCATGTCACAGACAGAGACGAAGCACTTCTGAGCAGACAGATCTGCAGGTTCCTATCCAGATGGATTACTCGTCAACTTTTTATGGCTCTCAGGAAGACAAGCGCTTGAAACTTTGAACTTCGCTCGAGCGCAATATCAGCCCACCTCCCCGGCGTGTGTTCCAGGGTCAGCGACGAAGGTCCAGGAGGCCCAGAACGCTTCTCGGAAGTCCTTCGAACCCTCTGGGTCCTCACGCGCCACGTTGTAGTAGGCCATTCCGCCGATCGTCGTCAGCAGGCCCGTGATGACGAGCAGAATTAGGGTCTGCAGTCAAGAGCAGGAACTCAATAGCTTTAACGGCTATGAAATCGTAGGCGGACCAGTCATGTCAGGAGATGCAAGACAGTCACGATGGTAGTCCTGCTTGTAAATGTGAAGGTCGATAACAATGAGCCTTTCCTGTGATCTCGGATTTGAGAACCTTCCAGAAGGCAGCCCCTGACTGCTTATGGAAATTCACTTGACAGAAGCAATGCCGAGAACTAACCACCAGCACGGCAACATGGCCAGCCAGACAAGCCTCCTTCCAATGAGGAAGCTCACGTCTAGAACTCAGCCCAAATCTTGTCAAGGACAACAACAGGGTTCACTGCAGTTTTAGAATAAGGTGCCCGCGCTCACCTTGGACCAGGGTTCCGTGGAGTAGAAGTAGTCCAGGAGGTAGATCGCCCGCTCGCCCAGCGTGATGTCGCCTTTGTCCATCTTGAGAGGAGCGCGCTGGATGGGGATCTGGACAAAGCGGCTACTCACCTGGAGACAGATCAGGAGTGTCAATGGAGGGTCAGTTTCTTGATATGGTTGGTTTATCGATGGATTCAAAGTACGGACTCTTTGGCAGCGCAGTAAGCGGACCGGAAGGACGAAATGGCGTGGCACGATACTGCAATTGAAGCGGGGTGGGGGGACGTTTCTTCACGTCTCATGCAGTTCACGAGGATTTGATTTAGACCCGGATATTTCAAAGGCTTCAACATTCTGCACATCCGTCGGGCTGTTGAAGTTTTGCCTCTTTCTAGATGGTTGCCACCATCTGATACCCGTAGCCATCCTGGATGATGTGAACATCAGCTGTGCTTGAAGAGTATTGTAAAATGTCAGAAACACATTTCCTCGTACACACTTTCTGTTACAGTGCTACCTGGAAGGATTCAGTCAGGATGTGGCTCGCCAGCAAATTGATGGCAACAACCACTGCAGGACGTAAGCGAGCATGGCCAGGCAGGTCTGGTGCAATCGTGCATACTCCAGAAGGATGGTAAGATGCAGAATTGAGCACCGTAATGCCCCGACCCGCTGCAAATGTTGCCCATGTCATTCATACCCGCAAAACTCTGCACCAGTCAAAAGTTGAGCCCCGACATTGCTGACCTAATCAGTTGGGCTGTAACCGCAACTTACCATCAAGGGAGGTGCAAAAGGGTCCTCCGTCACAGTCCCAAACACACTGTAGGTTTATTGACCACGTTCATTGACCAATTGCTCACCAGGAGCGTCCCTTCCTCCATCATCCACCAGAAACTTGCCCAACTCCCAAACATGGACTTTCCACTTTTGAGGGGGTAAATAAATCTAAAAAGCGTGTGGCTGTGAGGGGGTTACAGAATGGAAAAGTGTGTTGGCTTTGAGGGGGTAATCTGTACAAGTTTGTGGCTGCGAAGCCGTACACTTGCCGTAGACGCTGCCAGGGCGTGCTGCCCCCTCCCCCCTCCAGCCACTGGGACCTGCAACGACAGCACCACTCCAATGGCAACCGCCCCCAGCAGCCGGCCCCAGTCAAGAAGGCTCCAGCGCTGCAAGTGACAAGTGGACTGCGGTAAGTCTCCTAGTGTTGAAAGGGCTTGAGAGCCGCCTTACCAGCCAAGGCATGATTGCTGGGGTATAAGAAGCAGCTATGCTGAGTCCTGGCAAGAAAGAATTCTGGCGGCAAATGACGACAGACGGCCACCCTCTGTCTGTCAGTGCTAGTCCGCGGACCAGTTGAAAGAGCTAGCCTGTTGGCTGTTGAGATACTGGCATGCAAATTGTCTGAGCCAGCGTTCACTGTGAGCATCGTGGTCTCATGCCTGCACCCGGTTCACCCAAGAGTTGCCCTTTCCGCTATGAGCTGCCAATCCTCAGCTCACCTTGTAATCTTTGCATTGAGCTGGACCGCACTCCCTCTCCGCATGCTGCAATTGCATTGCATTGCACTTTGGATTGGCCTCTTTAGCTGCCGGTCCTGAATTACGCATCCGTTCTTCTGACCTCTCTCCCATACTGAGGCCACCGGCGCACATTACCTGGCCTCTTCCCTGGCCATTGTTAGCTTCTGCTCTAATGCAGCTCTGACCCCTCCTTTTGACGTGCTCACTGGCAAAGCGAAGCGCTGGGAACAAGGTGCTCATGTTCCTGCCAGCACGTTGTTTGCATGGCCACATTAATAGCTCACTCTTCCAGAATGGGGAATTCTCAGAACAAAGAGAAGAGCGCGTCTGGGTAAGGTCCAATCTCTGAGGAGGACAGAAGCTATGGGGGGCACATGACTGAGCCATGGTGTTTGCCTGCATTTTGGTACACCCTCAACCTGCGGCCGTCTCAGGGCAATTAGCCGGAACAATGGTGATGAGGTATCTCAAGGATGCAAAGCCCCGTGCCTTGAGGGGGGCTTTCCGTCAGCTAGATGAATTGACAACGCGTAAGGAACGAACGCCAGCGGTCGGCTCCGAATCCAACTTGAGCAGGCTAGCGCTTCCAATTTTCAACGCCAGGGAGAACCTCATGGAACAATGTCAAATTTGCAACAAGTGACCACCACCTTGGAATGACCGTTCAGGTTCACCAAAAGCTCAGAGTCATACGCAAAGGATCGACCATGGATGCATGCTGCAGCAGCATGCATAGCAGCAGCTAATCATACCCAGGATAGCAGGTGCCAGATGAGCACGCGATACCGTACTTGTGTACATAACGTATGTACAGGAAGGAGTACTGCAATTATTGACCGATGGCTGTATTCAATTTCAATTAAATACTGGTCTTAACAATCGTTATGACGTCATGCCATTCTTACCTCCACTCGCCGTCCGATAACGCATCGGAGACTCTCGGAGTGCCGCTGATCGTACGATGCGATTATACGAGATTTTGCAGCGCGTTTTGAACTTTGAATTTATTGAACGATCCCGACTCCCACTCATACAGCGATCACACATGACTGAAAACCGACTCCCGTTGGTCTGTTTTCGACGTTTCAGGTCATTCTGGCCGTCGACGGCGGCCAGAACTTTTTCGCCATACTTTTGTCGTTGTCGACGGTCGTTGACTTCCGTCCGCCTACGTGGCAGTTGTCGGACGACCTCAGATTCCCAGGAAAATCAGGCTTGGGCTGGACTGCGGCCAAGACTGCCGCAAGAATTGCTCCAGTTGCCCATCGAAGTGGCCAGAAGGGAACGCTTTTGTAGATCTGAATCTGGTTTTCTAGGCGAACTTCAGGAAGGGCGAGCTGCCAGGCTGTGCCAGGATCTGCCAGCTATGGCGGCTGTGACCGCAGGAGCAGACGCTCCCGCTGCTGTAGCAGAAATTCCACCAGAGAGCAAGGCTGCTCCTGCTGTTTGGAGTGTGATCATGGAGGAACGCTTCATTGACCTTTGGGGCACAGAGTTTGTAAGAATTGAACAGGGCAATTTTGCAAAGCACAATTGGAAGTCCATAACAGACGATATCAATAAGCTCTTGAAAGAGGATGAGCAGCACTTCACTGTGCAGCAATGCAAGTCAAAGATAGACAGTCTAAAGAAGAGGTACACCACCGAGTTTGGAAAGAAGACCAGCACAGGCTCAGTCAACAGCTCATGGGTGCATTTTGAGCGCCTTGGCCCTTATCTCAGAAAGTTGCCAAAGGTTTCAGGTATTCCAGGGGCAGTTGACAGCGGGGTGGAGAAAGTTCCTTCTCCACCGCGGCGGAGTTCTGAAGAAGAAGAGTTCGAGCAAGAGGGCATGAGGGACCCAGGTTGGGTTCCCGAGGAGGCACAAAACGATGACGAGCAAGTCAACAACAAAGAAACTCCCTCTGAGAAACCCTCTTCTACGGAACAGGCATCCAAGGTGGAAGACAGTGTGGGAGGGAGCAGAAAACGGACGTCAATGTTAGAAGCTGAAGACGAGACTGGGGATGACTGTAAGATGGTCAGTCCTCTAAAATATGCGGGAAAGGCAGGGGTCAACGGGCAGCTGAACAGTAAAGGGCGGGGAAACAAACTCTTCAAAGCTTCTCCAAGTGGAACCACTGCAATGTCGAGGAGCCTGGATCTGTATAGTAAGAATCAGGCTGAGTTTATGGCAAAGGCTTTCGAGTTGGAGGAAAAGATAGAGGCAAATCGTGCAAACAGCGCGTTAGAGATTGCAAAGCTTAAGATTGAAGCACAGGAAAGGGCGGCGCAGCAGAAGGCGGAGGCGCAAGAGAGGGCGGCGCAGCAGCAAGCGGCAAGCAACCTGGCCATGCTGGAAATGAAGTTGAGAATGCAAGCTGAATTTGAAAGGATGAGAAGAGGCATGCCTCCTGGATCCACTGATTGAAGGTAAGAGGGTTTCGAATCCAAAGACTTTGCACATGGGAAGAACATTAGCTCACAATTACTCAATGTTTCTAGCTGTAAAGTCTCTGAAGAGCGCAGATCTGATATTTTGACCTACTCTTTTACTGCTGTACTCAGACTGCAGCGGAGGGATGGGTGCATTGTGCAAATCGTTTGGATGTGGATCTAGAACTTCAGGATTGTCCCCTGGTTCTCCTGCTCTTTGACAGATGTTGTGAAGCACACAACAAGCAATGGTTACCTTTGGTGCCATATGAAGACCTACATTAAGGTTTTTGAGGATGAGCCACCTATTTTTCAGAATACCAAAGGCATTTTCAATCTTCACTCTACCTTTCCTGAGATACTTATCGAAGAGATTCTGCTCGGGACTGCCGGTTGCTCTATTGTTAAATGCCTTGAGCAGAAAGGACATGGTTGGGTATGCACTATCTCCAACTATGTATGGTTTCACGTCCTTGCCCTCTATGCGCACGACTGGTTCTTGTAACACTGTGCCCCCTCTCAATTGTTCCCAGATCGAAGACCTCCTCAAGTGGGTGGCATCATGGCATCCTCCGGGTTGTCGTGCGCAGACGCTCCAGAAGACCCGGTCATAGTCACATACTCCCTGCAATAGGATGGAGTGAAAGTCGTGCCGGCTCCAGTATTGAGCCGGAACTTCATGATTGGGTGGTTTTCTGTAGAGTTTGATATGAGATCCATCTATTGCGCCCGCCATATTGTCCAGGCCAGTCCCCCTTTTGAATCGACCAATGATTCTCTTTAGGTTGCCCGCCGTTGGAATTTGTATGTGCTTATTGAGCAGTTTGTTGGGATTGGAAAGTGCATCTACAATCAGATTGGTGTATTTAATAACGGTGCTTCCTCCAACGCCATAGAAGCGCCCCACATGCTTGGGAGAATACCCCGTTGCCAACCGGAAAAGAACCATTGCCACTGCTTTGTGCACATCTGTGGCCTTTCTCCATTTGGTATCTTGATGTTCTATGTAAGGCCGGAGCTCCTCGACTAGCTCTTCAAATGTCATGTATGACATCCTGTAATTCTCAATCCATTTCTGATCGAGTAAGGCTGGGGACATCCTCCATACTTCGCCTTGGATGACGTCCCACTCTGTTTGTTGCTTTGGGAATACCCACCAATCTCTTCCCCCTACATCTATGCTATAATCCTCAACGTGTCCCGCAATTACAACCATGATCATGAACATTGCACGGCCCATGTCCATGATCCTTTCGTATAATCTCATGATGAGCGCCCTTTCTCGAAAAATCGAACGAGGGCTCTATGCAAACTCGAATTGTGTTAATGCAGATGGTAAACCAGAAGGTATCACCTGGCCCTCGCCAGTCTCGCTAGGCTGGTCTAGCCACTGTTCGGACGTCGGACCAGCTGAAAAAGATGAGGGCGGTCTGATTTGCGTCCCACGTGTCCGAAATCTGGACGGCTGTACCGACCGGAACATGTGG